CCTCAAAAAAGAATGAATTCTTAGTTCCTTCCGCCATCCCATCTAATGAATCAGTAAGATTTCAAATTTTAATATAATCTTTTGTATTCACAGGTTCCGTCGTTCCCATCGCTTTTCAATTTATGGTTAGGTCTAAATTCTACAATGGAGCCTCTTTAATTAAGAAGATTCCATTTTTTTTATTTTCTTATTTTCTTCTTTTTTGTTGAATCAACCTTCTCAGTTTTCTTGATTCGTGGCTCTTGATTCGTTTATTCTAGGAATATATTCATCCATATATGGATGAATTTTGAAGATTGATGCTTTATTACACTACTTTTTATGAGATGACCCATAGACCTTTACATAGGAGAATTCTATATCATTGATATCCTTTTTCTATCTTTCTTTCACCCCTTCATTTATCTGTATATTCTTATTGCTTTACAACTAATAATCTTATTTTTTTTTTTTTATTTCAGTTGCTATAATTATATCATCACATAGATCCTTATTTTGATTTTAGATTTTCGGCGGTTCTTTATATCCAGATAATGGGAAGCGATGAGTAGGTTATTTATTCTTTAGTAATTAATTCGACGAATTTTTGTAGAAAATTAACCACTCTAAAAAAAAACCAACGAGTCACACACTAAGCATAGCAACTCCTTCATTATAAAATGATTAATTAATTTTTTTTTATTTAATCTTTTAAAATTTTTCATTTCTTCTTTGAGAATAAGAACGTAGTAAGAATTCGTCATTTTTTGTTTTCTCAAAAGATGGAACGTTATAAGGAAAAGGTTATTAGTCGTTGTTTATAAATATCCAAACTTTGATTCCTAAGACCCCATAAATAGTTCGAACTGGATAGGAACAATAATCAATTTTAGCTCGAATGGTTTGTAGAGGAATCCTACCTTCTCTGATCCATTCGACACGTGCAATTTCGTTTCCGTCGATGCGTCCCGCAATTTGTATTTGAACTCCTTTTGTACCTGCACCTGCCTCTTCAGCGAATTTTTTTATAGTTTTTTGCATTGCTTTACGAAACGGAATTCTATTCTTTAATTGTCTGGCTAGAAATTCTGCAAGAATATTCGGGTCTCTATAAACATTTGGAATTCTTGTAATTTCAATGTTGATTTGTCGGTTCACACAATTTATTTTTTTTTGCACATTAGTATGTAATTCTTCCATTCTTTCAGGGTTATCCTCTATTACTAAGTTTGGGTTTGGAAGTCCCATATTGATTATCACGTGAATCAGATCGCGTGTTTTTTTAATCTTTATTCGTCCAATTCCCTCGCCATCGACAGCGGTTGTTGTTTTTTGTATTTTTTGTATATAATTCTTGATACAATCTCGTATTATTTTATCTTCTTTTACATTCTCGGAATAAATTCTTGGTTGTGCAAACCAAATAGAATCATGACTTTGAGTTGTACCAAGTCTGAAACCAAGCGGATGTATTTTTTGTCCCATAATCCCTCACTACTCTATATAAAATAATACGTCTGATTTGTCTACTTTTTTATCTATATATATATATTTTTTTTAATATCTTGATATATCTTTTTTTTTCTGCAAAGCATTAGTTCTATTATAATAACCCTTTCAATTTTTGAATATTATTAATTACCATTCACGCTTTGTGTTGTGAATAGACAAAAATATTTTTTGAACAAAGGGTTATATTTCTCTGTATTGGTTCTATTTTCACGAAAAAATAAAATCTGTTTTTTTGATTGCAGAATAATACAATTCTTTTTGAGTAATTTATTAATTAATATTTATTAATGACTATTACTAAATTTATGTTAAAATGAATGTTAACGACGAGATCTATTATCATTTTTCGCAAAGCCTCGGAAGTTTCGAGTAGGTGAAAATTCTCCCAATTTATGGCCTACCATACGATCTGTTATATAAATAGGTAAATGCTCTTTTCCATTATGGATAGCAATGGTATGCCCAATCATTGTAGGTAGAATGGTAGATCTTCTGGACCAAGTTATTATTATTTCTTTTTCTCCTTTTGTGTTAAGCTTATTTATTTTTCTTAATAAATGATTCGCTACAAAAGGATTTTTTTTTAGTGAACGTGTCATAGTTAATTATTCCTCTTAAAATTTCTAAAAAAATGAATTTTTTCTCTTATATTTTTTATTTTATTTCCAATTTTAAAATATAGAATCTCTTTTTAAAATATAGAATCTCTCAAAAAAGAAAATCATAGAATGTCATAGTCAATCGCTCTTTTCTTTTGTAAAGACGAAGAAACAAATTCTATTTTCTCTACTATCCACTATTGACTACGGCGACGAAGAATCAAATTATCACTATATTTCTTCCTTTTTCTAGTTCTTCTTCCAAGTGCAGGATACCCCCAAGGAGTTGAGGGTTTTTTTCTACCAATTGGGGCCCTCCCTTCACCACCCCCATGTGGATGGTCTACAGGGTTCATAACTACCCCTCTTACTACAGGACGCTTGCCTCGCCAACGTTTAGCTCCGGCTCTGCCCAAACTTTTCTGGTTTACCCCAACATTCCCCACTTGTCCGACTGTTGCTGAGCAGTTTTTTGATATCAAACGGACCTCTCCAGAAGGTAATTTTAATGTTGCTGATTTACCCTCTTTTGCAATCAGTTTCGCTACAGCACCCGCTGCTCTAGCTAATTGTCCACCCTTTCCAAGTGTTATTTCTATGTTATGTATGGCCGTGCCTAAGGGCATATCGGTTGAAGTAGATTCGTCTTTTTGATCAATCAAAACCCCTTCCCAAACTGTACAAGCTTCTTCCAAAGCATACGGCTTTCTGGATGTAGATTAGAATATCTATACAGATACATCTTATATATCGTTTATTTCGTATATTATATATGACATAACGAAGTACCATACCACATGAGTGGATATATAATATACGAATCCAAATATTCTGAATGACTCATGTTATGATCTTCTACATCCTAGGTCTTTCTGTTCCTTCATCTGGCTTATGTTCTTCATGTAGCATTCAGACCGAATGACTCTATGAAATTACGTTGCTACTTAGACATAGTACGGGTAACGTAGGAGACATTTCTATTTTTTCCCGGGGGAATCCTTAGAATTACCACTGCTTAGCTTTCAATTTGCCTTTGACCATCAAATGAAATGTGAATAATCTGTGTCTTCCCCCCTTTGTTTTTTGAAACGAGGAGCACTTCGTGTTCTGTCGGTGCTTGAAACAATTTTGTCTTCTCCATATTACTATATCTCTAGGGTCAATAATTTTATATTAGGAACTACTGAACTCAATCACTTGCTGCTGTTACTCTTCAGTTTTCTGTTGAAGTCTATCCTGTAGAGGTACTCAAATAGGATCAGTGATCGATTTCTAGGTTTCGCCTTAAACCTAATTGGTTACTTCCAATTACGTAAATCTATAGTTCAAACCGCACTCAAAGGTAGGGCATTTCCCATTTTTATAGGAACTTTTGTACCATAAATAATGGTATCTCCAATTATAGCCCCTCTGGGGTGTAAAATATATCTTTTCTCACCATCCCCATAGTGTATGAGACAAATGTGTGCATTTCGATTAGGGTCGTATTCGATAGTTACAATTCTACCATATATGTCTTTTTCATTGCGTCGAAAATCAATTTTACGGTATAGACGCTTATGACCTCCCCCTCTATGCCCTGCGGTAATGATTCCTCTGGCATTACGCCCTTTACCACAATGATGCTGTCCAGAAATCAAACGATTTCGTGAATTGGATTTCACTTGACTGTTTACGGCTCCATTGCGTGTGTTCGGGCTAGAAGTTTTGGATAAATGTATCGCCATGTTATGAAGTGTATTTTTATTTAAGTTATTTTCTTTCTAAGAGGTGGAATAGAATAACCCGGTTGAAGCGTAATGATCATACGTTTGTAATGCCTTGTATGTCCCATAATAGGTCGTATTCTTCTACCCTTTATTGGGATTGCGAGTTGATTCATAGTTCTTACCTTGACACCAAAGAAGAGTTCGACCCAATGTTTTCTTTCTGTCCTAGTTAATCCTGATTTGACATGAAAAGTATATTGATTTTTTCGAAATAACGAAAATTTAGTGTCTGTAAATACTGCAGATTTTATTCCATTCATAAATCTATTTTATTCTTTCTTCCCGATGAGTTCTAGTCTCACTAAAAATACTAGTTTTTTTACTGTTCATTTATTAAAATTTGAATATACCACACCAATTTGTTATGTAGGATGATGAGATTCCATTGATACAGATCCAAGTCTCGATTCAAATACTACTAAGCTAAGAGGTCTACTACAGATCAGAAATTATTTAAATAGAATAAATAAAGAAATTCTTTCTTTATTTAGAAATGATCAATTCTTGAAGTTTCTATTATTTTCAAATTCAATTATTAAAGAAAGAAGAAGATGTTTCTTTTTTTCTTTGGAGGAAATTGGAAAAGAAAGAAATAGCCAATATAGTCAAGATAATCATGTATTTACAAAATAATGTCTCAATTCATCCTATATTCATCCGATGGAGGATGTGATAGGATTGCAAAGGAGAAACTTTTGACAGTTCAAAATAATAATTCATGATTAAAAATATAGTTTTTAGGGGAGATATTTCTATTGGCATGCATCCAGTAGGAATTGAACCTACGACTTCGCCAATTATGAGTTGGGCGCTTTAACCATTCAGCCATGGATGCTTCGAGGGAACAACCCTCCGACTTGATGAATAACCAAATTTCAATTGAAGTGAAATCTTTTGGATAAATCAATAGAAATACATACATAAAGAAATAACTTAATAGAAATACATACATAAAGAAATAACTTAATAGAAATACATACATAAAGAAATAACTTAATAGAAATACATACATAAATAAATAACTTAATAGAAATACATACATAAAGAAATAACTTAATAGAAATACATACATAAATAAATAACTTAATAGAAATACATACATAAAGAGATAAATTATTTTTAATTTTTTAAGGAGGATCCTATGAAGAACAATCAATTCCACTTTTGGATTTTCGAATTGCGAGAAATTTTTAGAGAGAGCAAGAATTGTGCCTATTTCTTAGATTCCTGGACGCAATTCAATTCAGCGATATCTGTCATTCACATTTTTTTGCATCAAGAGAGTTTGATAAAAGTCTTAGACTCCAGAATTTGGAGTATCCTAGTTTCACGTCAGTCACAGGGTTTAACAAGAAATCGATATTTCACGATCAAGAATGTAGTACTTTTTGTAGTAGCGATCCTTCTATATCGTATTAACAATCGAAGGATGATCGAAAAAAAAAATATTTATTTGACAGGGCTTCTTCCTATACAAATAAATTCCATTGGATCCGGCAATGATAGATTGGAAGACTCAAAAGATTCGTTCAATATCAATAGGTTGATTGTTCCGCTCCTGTCTGGTCCAAAAGAAAAAAAGATCTCTGATCGCTCTTTTTTCTCGGACAGATGGTCCCAACTTCATCTGGATTTGAATCCTACTGAGAAGTCCGCTCAAGATCTTCAATTATTAAAGAAAGAAGAAGATGTTTCTTTTGTTCTTTGGAGGAAATTGGAAAAGAAAGAACTAGCCAATATAGTCAAGATAATCATGTATTTACAAAATAATGTCTCAATTCATCCTATTTCATCCGATGGAGGATGTGATAGGATTGCAAAGGAGAAACTTTTGACAGTTCAAAATAATAATTCATTCTTGACCAAAAATCTAGTTTTTGGTTTATTTCATCTATTCCATGACCAGAATAGGGGGGGGTACTTGTTACATCGCAATTTTCAATCAGAAGAGAGATTTCAAGAAATGGCAAATCTATTTAATCTATCACTAACTAAGCCGGATCTGGTCTATCGTAATGGATTCTCTTTTTCTATTGGGTTTTCTGAACCGGAATCAAAAAAAAAATCTTTATTGGTTCTGCCGCGGCTTTTTGACGAAGCGAATGAATCTTTTTATCCAAAGATCATAAAAAAATGGGTCCAGACCTCTTGTGGGAATTATTTTCAAGGTAATCGATTCAATCGCAACTTCGAATATGTACTTCAAAGGTATCAAAATGATATTCTGAATCATAGACCTATAAGGAAACACACGATCAATCAACGTTTCTCAAATTTGAAAAAGAGTCAGAAGAAATGCTTTGATCGTCTTATTTTTATTTATCGAACCGAGAGATCCGTGAATAAGGATCCAAATGCATATAAATACAAATGGTCCAAGGGGAGCACAAATTTCCAGGAACATTTGGACCATTTCATTTCTGAGCAGAATAGTCGTTTTAAAGTAGTGTTCGATCGATTACATATGAATGCATATTCGATTGATTGGGCTGAGGTTATCGACAAAAAAGATTTTTCTAAGTCACTTTGTTTCTTTTTGTCCAAGCTTCTTCCCTTTTTGTCTAACTCACTTCCTTTTTTCTTTGTGAGTTTCGGGAGTATGCCCGTTCATAGGTCCCAGAGCCATATGTATGAATTGAAACGTATGAATGATGCACTCGAGAATCAGTTGTTAGAATCAATAGGTCTGCAAACGGTTCATTTGAAAAAAAGGAAATCCCCATTATTGGATGACTATTATACTTCTCAAAAATCAAAATTCTTGATCAATGAAGGAACAATATTACCATTTTTGTTCAATAAGATACCAAACCAAGACAATTGGCTGAATCCTGTGAAATGTTTTCATAGAAGTTCATTGATTTCCTCTTTTTATAAAGTAAATCGACTTCGATTCTTGAATAATCAATATAACTTCTCTTTCGATTGTAACAAAAGATTCTCTTTTTATGGGGAAAGGTCCTATAATTATGATTTTATGTATGAACAATTCCTCAATGTCTTGTTCATTCGAAAGAAAAGATTTTCTTTGTGCGGCGGTAAAAAAACACATGCTTTTTTGGACAGAGATACTATTTCACCAAGCGAGTTAGAGGTCTCTAAGATATTGAGACCGAAGAATTTTCCGCAAAGTGGTGATGACGGATATGACTTGTACAAATCTTTCCATTTTTCAACTCGTGTTCCTAGATCTATTTACTCGATCGCGGACATTTCTGGAACACCTCTAACAGAGGAAGAAATAGTGAATTTGGAAAGAACTTCTTGTCAACCTCTTTCCCCTATTAATTTATCTGATTCAAAAAGGAAGAACTTGCATCAGTATCTTGATTTCGATTCAAACATGGGTTTGGGTTTGCTTGACACTCTATATTCTGAAAAATTTATACCATCCGCAAAGAGGAAAAAACCTCTAAAAAAATTCCTTGGAAAAGGGCAGATGTATAGAAACTTTCAAAGAAAAAGAAAAAGAAAGAGTATTTCTTCAATTCTCTCCAAATTGAAGCGATTACGCCCGTATATAATACCGTTGTTCCTTACCTGGACAGGGCACAAATATATCAATTTCATATTTTTAGATACTCTTTCAGACCTATTTGCGATACTAAGGAGGAGTCCTCAATTTAAAAAATTTGTATCTATTTGGCAGAATATTATGCATGGATCCAAGGGAAGTCTTCGGAAAAAACTGTGGGGAATTCTTCGGAAAAAACTGTGTCTTTCACAACGGAATCGTATAAGTGAGATTTCGAGTAAGTCTTTCCATAATTTTCTTGTAGACATGTACAAAGATCTTTTTCACACAAATAATGAGTCACCATTCATATCGACACATCTGAGATCACGAAATATTGAGGAGTTCCTGGTTTCAATCCTTTTACTTCTTCTTGTTACTGGATATCTTGTTTATACACATCTTTTCTTTGTTTCTCGCTTCTCTAATGAGTTACAGACAGAGTTCGAACAGGTCAAATCTTTGATGATTCCATCCTACATCATTGAATTGCGAAAACTTCTGGATAGGTATCCTCTATCAGAACAAAATTCTTTCTGGTTAAAGGATATCTTTGGAGTTGCTCGAGAACAATTAGGAAATTTTTTAGAAGAAAGGCGAGGTTGGCCTTCTGGCGGGGACATCCCAAGGGGTGGTGGTTTCGCTGATGGGGTCAAATCCATACGTTCGAAGAAGAACGGTTTTAATCTCATGGATCTCATAAGTATTATACCAAATCCCATCAATCGAATCGCGTTTTTGAGAAATACGAGACATTTAAGTCATACAAGTAAAGCAATCTATTCATTGATAAGGAAAAGAAAAAACATGAATAGTAATTGGATTGATGATAAAATAGAATCCTGGATCTCGACTAGTGATTTCATTGCTGATAAAGAAAGAGAATTCTTGGTTCAGTTCTCTACCTTAACGACAGAAAAAAGGCTGGATCAAATTTTATTGAGTCTGACTAATAGTGATCAGTTATCAAAGAATAACTCTGGTTATCAAATGATTGAGCAACCAGGAACAATTTACTTACGATATTTAATTGACATTCATAAAAAGGATCTGATGAATTATGAGTTCAATACATCCTGCTTAGCAGAAAGACGGGTATTCCTCGCTCATTATCAGACAATCACTTATTCAGAAATCCCGTGTGGGGCTAGTTGTTTGGATTTATCATCTCATGGGAAACCCTTTTCGCTACGCTTAGCCCTATCCCCTGCTAGGGGTATTTTAGTGATAGGTTCGATAGGAACTGGACGATCCTATTTGCTCAAATATCTAGCGACAACCACCTATGTTCCTTTCATTACAGTATTTGTAAACAAGTTCCTGGAGAACTTTCCTAAGGGTTTTGATAGTGATGATAGTGAGGACGACATGTTTGATGAAAGAGAGGGTACCATTTACAGTCTTTTACCTAATAACGAGGGTAGTTGCTATAATTCCGAGAATTATGAAAGGGATGATAGTGACGATCTCGACCGTAAGCTTGATAGCCAGTTGAAGTTTCTAAGTATGGAGGATCCGGTATCTAGCGATCTGATGGAAATAGACCGGTTTTATCTCACGCTTCAATTCGAATTAGCAAAAGCAATGTCTCCTTGCATAATTTGGATTCCAAACATTCATGATCTGGATAGGAATGAGTCGAATGACTTATCGCTGGGTATATTAGTGAACTCTCTTTCCAGCGATTCGGAAAAGGTTCTACTAGAAATATTCTAGTTATTGCTTCTACTCATATTCCAAAAAAAGTAGACCCTGCTTTAATAGCTCCGAATAAATTAAATACATGCATTAAGATACGAAGGCTTCTTATTCCACAACAAAGAAAGCACTTTTTTACTCTTTCATATACTAGGGGATTTCACTTGGAAAAGCAAATATTCGATACTAATGGATTGGGGTCTATAACTCTGGGTTCTAATGTACGAGATCTTGTAGCACTTACTAATGAGGCGCTATCGATTAGTATTATACAAAAGAAATCTATTATAGACACTAATATAATTAGATCTGCTCTTCATAGACAAACTTGGGATTTTAGATCTCAGATAAGATCGATTCAGGATCATGGGATCCGTTTTTATCAGATAGGGAGGGCTGTTTCACAAAATCTACTTCTAAGTAATTGCTCTATCGATCCTATATCTATCTATATGAAGAAGAAATCATGTGCAGAGGGGGATTCTTATTTGTACAAATGGTACTTCCAACTTGGAACAAGCATGAAGAAATTAACCATACTTCTTTATCTTTTGAGTTGTTCTGCCGGATCGGTCGCTCAAGATCTTTGGTCTCTACCCGGACCTAATTGAAAACAAATGATGGGATCACTTCTTATAGACTCCTTGAGAATGATTCTGATCTAGTTCATGGCTATTAGAAATAGAAGGTGCTCTGCTGGAACCCTCACAGACAGGAAGTCGGTTTGATAATGATGGCGTGACATTGCTTCTTCGGTCCGAACCAAGAAATCCCTTAATATGATTCAAAATGGGTCTTCTTCTATCGTTGATCAGAGATTTCTCTATGAAAAATATGAATCGGGGTTCGAAGAAGGGGAAGGAGTCTTCGACCCGCACCGCTAGAGGAGGATTTATTCAATCACATACTTTGGGCTCCGAGACTGTGGCGCCCTTGGGGCTTTCTCTTTGACGAGAGGGTCCAATGAATTGAGATTTCCCTATTGGGAAGGGTCATTTCAGGACAAACCGATCCTTGATGATTATGATGAAGAGGGTAAGCTTCAAGAGATGATAATGATTCGCAGTTCTTGCAGGATGGAATCATGCAGGACCAGACACGAGCGAGATTTACCAACGAACAGGGCTTTTTTCGAATAAGCCAATTCATTTGGGACCCCGCAGATCACTGTTTTTGCTATTCCAAGAGGATCCTTTTGGATCTGTATTTTCACATCAAGAATTTTCTCCAGATGAAGAGATGTCAAGGATACTTTTGACTTCCCAAACCCAAAAATTGATTGGAAATATCTAAATAAACCTGGTTTAGGAAGAATATGCAAGAACAGAATTTCAAATTGTTGATTGATCGCCAGAGAGATGGTTTAGAACCAATAGTTCAGTATCAAATGAATTTTTTCGTTCTAATACTCTATACGAGAGTTATCAATATTTATCAAATCTGTTCCTATCTAACGGAACCCTATTGGCTCAACTCACAAAGACATTGTTGAGAAAAAAATGGCTTTTCCCAGACGAGATGGTTGTGACTATCTGTTCCAATAACGAACGATTGGTTTAACTGAATAATGAAATGAAATAAAAATAGATACTTTCTTTCTCGTCGTCTCAAGTCGATATTAGGGGATCGTCTCAATTGAAAGATCCCCCTAATATTGATAATCCATATTGCCGTTGACCGAGCTACTTGTTTTGAAGCAAATAAAGAGATCCACAGGGTAATTTGTCCTATTCAGATATTCACGACCAATAAGTACAGAATTTTCTTTCTTTTCGGATAGGTCCTGTCCTGAAAGGAGAAAGAAGGTTGACATAGGCGGCTATTTTGGAATTCACCCGACCCGAGCGTACAGTACCCATTTTTTGAATGTCGAGTGCCAAAGTCATTGAATGGGTAAGTCACCAATCTCCAAATCAAATATATAATGTACTTTATCCGTTGGTTTAGGGTAGGGGGATTGCAGGTGGGACGATTTCAAAATGTACTCTCCATTCATTAGATAGATAAGATCACCAAAACTTCGTGATCTGCTGGCGAACTTATTCCAATTCAATTTCAATAAGAGATCTCAATATTATGCCTTGAAGAGGACTCGAACCTCCACGCTGTTTAGCACGAGATTTTGAGTCTCGCGTGTCTACCATTTCACCACCAAGGCATCCTTAAAGGGAATCATATTCTCTGAATATGATATCTATCTTATGTCATGGTTCAATATTATTATACTCCAATTCTAATCCAATTGCAACATAGAACTACAACATCTCAAATAGAATACAACATCTCAATAGAATACGGTACGATATAATACAGTATCTACTATATAATACAGCGAGAATAGAATTCTTTCTCGACTAAATAAATATAGCTTCTAGATGAACGAAAAGCTAGTCAAAGGGTCGATTCAAAATTGGTAGACCGCTACGGACTTAATTGTATTGAGCTTTGGTATGGAAACATAGTAATGTTAAGTGAAAACATAACATAATATAATACAGCATCTACATATATAATACAACATGTACTATATAATACAGCGAGAGAGATTCTTTCCTCGACTAAATAAATATAGCTTCTAGATGAACGAAAAGCAAGTCAAACGGGGGATATGGCGAAATTGGTAGACGCTACGGACTTAATTGTATTGAAGCCTTGGTATGGAAACATATTAGTGAAAACTTTCAAATTCAGAGAAACCCTGGAATATTTAAATGGGCAATCCTGAGCCAAATCCTTCTTCCGAAACAAAAAACTAAAAGTTCAGAAAAAAAGGATAGGTGCAGAGACTCAATGGAAGCTATTCTAACAAATGGAGTTGACAACATTCAATTGATTAATGAAGATTTCTAACTTCTATTTGTAAATTGTACTATTTTTTTTAGTTTTGATTCGATCACAATTGAAACGAAACATTAGAATCAAATCAATTCCAACTGGAAGAAAAATGGTGAATATTCATTGATCAAATCAGTCACTCCACCAAAATATGATGAATCTTTTGAATAACTGATTAATCAGACGAGAATAAAGATAGAGTCCCATTCTACATGTCAATACCGACATCAATGAAGTTTTAGTAATCGGAAAATCCGTCGACTTTAAAAAATCGTGAAGGTTCAAGTCCCTCTATCCCCAAAGCCGATTGAATTTGCTCATTTTTATGGCCCTTTCCCTTTTTTTTATTGAGTTGACATAGACTCAAGTAATTTCCCTCAATTAGGATGGTGCGTCAAGATTTTAATGGTCGGGATAGCTCAGCGGTAGAGCAAAGGACTGAAAATCCTTGTGTCACCAGTTCAAATCTGGTTCCCGGCGACTCATTATGTATGAGTATCTATTCCCATATTTCTTTTCAAAAATCAAATATTGGGAGGAATAGATACATATTGATTAGTGGTCTTAATAATTATACATAATTTATCTAGGCGTACAGAGATATGCTCTTTCTAGATGAAAAAGGAATCGATGTATATTCTAGGAAGTATGAAATGAATGATTCTAGTTTGTTTCGATTTTTTCTGCGATGCAATAACAAATGTTCATATTTCAACAATATTCAAATGGTTTCAATTAGTTGGTTTGAACGACCAAAAAGTTGAATCTAGCGGAGTTCATAGGTAAGAATAGTCAAAATTTATCTGAGATACATTATCAAAAAATATGGTCCATTTCTTTGTATTTCTTTGATCGTACTTTTTTATTTTTCGTAGCCAGATATCTACTACTCGGAATAGAAATAGGAAATTGACTTCATTATAGGACTTATTAATCTTGTAAAATTTTTAAATATCGGGTAGGAGGTCCATGCCGCTACTCGGACTCGAACCGAGATGCTCTAGCACTGCTTCCTAAGAGCAGCGTGTCTACCAATTCCACCATAGCGGCTGACTCGAAATCATAATAACCAATTATTTAGTCAAAGTCAATAGTCAATCGTCGAGATTGAATAAAGTGAAGTCCAATATTTATTGAGTACATTTCTTTACTATTTACTAAACATTTATTCTCAATTTGATATTAAACTAAATTGATAATAAAAAGTAATTTAATTTTTTCTAATATATATAGAAATGAATATAGAAATATATGATATATGCAATCATTTTCAATTTAAGTAAAAGAAGTTTTTGATTTCTATATTCATTCTTTTTTTTTTTTCCCATGCAGAGTTCGTTTTCAAATTTAACAACGACGGGGAATGGGTTTTTTGTAGTTTATACTTTTTCAAATAAAAAAAAGCACTGTTGAAACTAGAACTATCTAGTTCTGACTTCAATCCAGTAATGAAAAAGAAATTTTTTTTTGTAGTTGCTTATGAATCATTCAAAAAAATGAGATTATATATATATCTAGAATATATTCTATATTCTATAATATAGAATATATTCAAATATATGTTTATATATGTTTCATATTCTATAATAGTATTAGTATAAATGACTATTAAAGAATACTCTTTGAATCGAGCTAATTCAGATTATTCTCGTCCAACATTTGTATTTCTTACAATAACTTACAATAACACAACTTTTTTTTTGATTACGTGGCAAAAAAGGGCGAGGTTTTGTATTTATTACAATACGATAACTTTTTGAGGTACCTGTCAAAATAGAGTCAGCTAATGAAAAGGCTTTCAATGCTGCCTTATATCCTTTTTTTTTCCAAAAATTCTTACGAATTTTTTTTTTTGATATAGAAGTGCGTTTTTTTGGAACTGGCATACAATTAGTATAGTTTTTTCGTTGCTATAGTTTGATGTGAAAGACATTTGTTCTGTAAATGAAAACGAATTATTCTGTAATTAGCCGTATGTCTTATCTATCTAAATTAACTCTTTCTCTTTTTTTCCATCGAAAGGTAAAGTAAAAACATTGAATATTATAAACCTTTTCCAAATTTTTCATAGATAATAGATATATATGGATCTCTTTTTATTGTAATGTAAAAGAATCAATTAGTTCAAAAAGGAACTAATGTTTCTGAATAAAAAAAAAGTATTATTTTATATTATATTATTTTTCTAATGTATATCAAAATAAACAAATGTTGTTAGTTTTGGTGTACTGATTTATCCTCATCCTCGCTCTATAGATAAGAGATAAAAATTTTTATTTTACAATTATTAATAGTCATTTTTCTTAATATATATATAAATTAAAAAATAACTAACCTAACATAGGAATTAATAGTAATATTAATTAATGAATATATTACTGAAATACTGAAAATAATAATTATTATTTATTTTTTTCACTAGGAATTTTGTTATTGGCCAGTTTTGACTTTGTACTTTCCAATATGGGGACCATTGTGCAAAGATTCAGAACAATTAAGAATATCCAATTCTATTTCTATATCCACTTTTTTATTAACCGAGCCCCTTTACAAAAGATATAAAACAAACGAATAAGAAACAAAATTCATCAAGAATCTAAATATTTTTTATTCTTTCTTTTTGTATGGAATATACACATCAATCTTCATGGATCATACCTTTCATCCCTCTTCCAGTTCCTATTTTAATAGGGGTAGGACTTCTACTTTTTCCCACGGCAACAAAAAATCTTCGCCGTATGTGGGCTTTTCCTAGTATTTTCTTGTTAACCATAGTTATGATTTTTTCGATCGATTTATCTATTCAGCAAATCGAGAATAGTTCTATCTATCAATATGTATGGTCTTGGACTATAAATAATGATCTTTCTTTAGAATTTGGCTACTTGATCGATTCACTTACTTCTATTATGTCAATATTAATCACTACTGTTGGTATTCTGGTTCTAATTTATAGTGATAGTTACATGTCTCATGATCAAGGGTATTTGAGATTTTTTACTTATATGAGTTTTTTTAATACTTCAATGTTAGGATTAGTTACTAGTTCAAATTTGATACAAGTTTATATTTTTTGGGAATTGGTTGGAATGTGTTCTTATCTATTAATAGGTTTTTGGTTCACACGTCCTATTGCGGCAAATGCTTGTCAAAAAGCGTTTGTAACGAATCGTGTAGGGGACTTTGGTTTATTATTAGGAATTTTAGGTTTTTATTGGATAACCGGTAGTTTGGAATTTAGGGATTTATTTCAAATATTCAAGAACTTAATTTATAAGAATGAGGTAAATATTCTTTTTGTTACTTTGTGTGCCCTCTTGTTATTTTGTGGTTCAGTTGCAAAATCTGCCCAATTCCCTCTTCATGTATGGTTACCAGATGCTATGGAAGGTCCTACTCCTATTTCTGCTCTTATACATGCTGCTACTATGGTAGCAGCAGGAATTTTTCTTGTAGCTCGACTTCTTCCTCTTTTCATAGTTATACCCTCGATAATGAGTGGAATAGCTTTGATAGGTATAATAACAGTAGTATTAGGAGCTACTTTAGCTATTGCTCAAAAAGATATTAAGAAAAATTTAGCCTATTCTACAATGTCTCAATTGGGTTATATGATGTTAGCTTTAGGTATGGGCTCTTATCGAGCCGCTTTATTTCATTTGATTACTCATGCTTATTCAAAAGCATTGTTGTTTTTAGGATCTGGATCCATTATTCATTCAATGGAAGCTATTGTTGGATATTCTCCAGATAAAAGTCAAAATATGGTTCTTATGGGCGGTTTAACAAAACATGCGCCAATTACAAAAATGTCTTTTTTAATAGGTACACTTTCTCTTTGTGGTATCCCACCTTTTGCTTGTTTTTGGTCCAAGGATGAGATTCTTAATGATAGTTGGTTGTATTCACCAATTTTCGCAATAATAGCTTGTTCCACCGCAGGATTAACTGCATTTTATATGTTTCGAATTTATTTACTTGTTTTTGAAGGATATTTAAACGTTCATTTTCAAAATTTCAATGGAAAGAAAAATAGTT